CTTCAACCATTGCCCACATCAGTGGCACCAATCTGATTGTGCACCCCCGTCTAGAGTTTGTAAAGATGGCAATGTGTAGAAATAGATTTTTCTCGTTCCAACTCCAACTAAATCTCTTAACATTTACACTTGATTTTAACTCGAACAGATATTAAAATATTATTTTTTATATCCAATCTGATATGATGTATATTCAGTAGTCGATTCTATCTGAATTAATTTAATAACTTTAATTTAGTCTAATATTTATAAAATATTTTTTTAATATAAATTACATTTTAATTATATATAATTATAGTATTTTTATTAAGTTAATACTTAATATCTTAAACTGAAGTATTAAATAATAATTTTATTAATAAAATACATATATATAAATATACATTAAATAAATAATAATAAATTATTTTTATATATACATATCTATATAATTTTATATAAAAAGTATCTTGAATGGGATAAGAGCTTGAAGGTGTATTATTATTATTATTTTAAGGTGTATTATATAACTAGGTAAAGAATGAAATCTTGTATGTGGAGACTACCTATAATTATATGAAAACTTGATTTGATCTCAATTTATCAAAATTATTATCTTTTACTTTTTAAAAAAATAAGAAAAAAGAGAGAGATCTTGAATATTTGTATTGTTTTGGACGATTCATTTGTTTTTTTTTTTTTTTTGGTACTTTTTATTATTACTTTTGTTTTTTTGGATTTTAAAATTCGACGATGATTGCAAAAGTTTATATTATAAACATCTCGTGTATGAACTTTTTATTTATTTCATACTTTTGTTTCTTAACTATTTTTACATTGCATTCTCTATTTTATCTATAATTAAATTAAATTTTATTTTATTATAATCTCATTTCGTTTCCATTTTGTACAATACAAAAAAATACAAATTGTATCTTTCAATGATTTTAACTTAAACCAACAACCAATTTTTTTATTATCTGCTCAAATATTTTGTACTACAAACCAAAAAAAGCTTAAAAGAATTTGGGCGGAGTCAGCTTTCACCCTAATCACTTAATGATATCCTTCAATTAATTTTTCTTTTAAATTTTAATAAATTTGTTGTTATCATTTAAATCAGTCTTCAAATCTATTAATGGCTGGTTGGTTCAAGTGATAAAAAAAAATGTGATACTTTCATTGTTATTGGGATTCTAATTCACTTAAAGGTTATGAAAAAGTAATTTTTTATTAATTTATTAGGTTTGATATAAATAAATTTGTTTGAACTGATTTAAAAAGAGATATACTGAACGAAAATTCGAAAATCCTTTGTCATTAAAGAAAAAAAAAAAAGAGGTAGCCTCCAAATCTATTATTGTTTATCAAAGGCATCCGTTTTGATGATATTTGTCATCTTACAATTAGATGTTCAATATTTTTTATATTAATTAAAAATGAAGGTAAAACTAAATTGTTTAGAAATGAAAAAAAATGGGAAACTTCTAGATAAAGATGCTTTTAGGTAAAAAAAAATAAAAAATTAATAAAATTAATAAAATATTTTTTGATAAGTATTTTATGAAAAAATTACAAAAAATAATCGATAATTGCTTGACAAGTGTCAAGTATGAAAAGAAAAAGTGAGAAGAAAGAAGCTTTTGGGAACATTAACAAAAAAATTACAAAAAAATTAAAAATAAAAAAAATATTTTTTGATAAATATTTTTTATGAAAAAATTGCAAACAAAATACAAAATATCAATAATTGTTTGACGAGTGTCAAATAATTAACCCGTTAAAAGACTACATTTCTTTTTAATTAATATTGTACTTTATATTTATTTATATCTTCATACATAAATAACAAAATATATACACTTAAATTTAAATAAGTTAAATTGTTTTAGAAATTAAATGCATCATTAAAAGACAATTTTTATTCAATTATGCCTCAACTTTTGTTTTTCTTGAAATATGTTTTAAAAATAAATAAATAATCAAGAATTTAATGAAAAAAAAAGAAATTTGGAGTTTTTAAAAGAAAACCTACTAAAACATATCAATTTACTTGTTTTTCACTAAACTAAATTGAATAGATAAATAAATATATTTATTTACAAAAATCCTAAAGTGAAATTTTTTTTAAAAATTAAAATTTAAGAATTTTTATATCTTCGTACATAAATAAAAAAATATATATGCACTTAAATTCAAATAATTAATATTATTTTAAAAAAATTTTGACCCTGGCAAATTTTCTAGTTTATTTTATTTATATTTCATAATTCTTATGATTCCCATTTGCTGACAAAAAAAAAAATTTGTGGTGCGCATTTTTCACTATTCAATAGTAGGAACCAAAGAGCAAGACGGTTTTTATTAAAAGACGATTAAGATCAAATTTATCATTATTAATCATTATATTATGACCTTAATGTTGAATTTTATCAATATAATCTAATTTCATTAAAATTTTAATTATACTTCAATTTTGTTGATTTTTTTAATACATAATTAATTTATTAAATATAAAAAACATTTTATAGAAATATTTTAAATATATTTTTATAAATATAAAATAATTATTTATTAATATAATAACATCAAAGGTTGTATTGGTGTATCAAATTTCAATCCTATTCAAGATCAACCTGAATTTGACTTTATAGTAATCCGTGAACAAATCTAACCATATAAATGCTTGAAATGAATGACTATCCAATAACTATCAATTAGCTTTGAATAGGCATATTTGTTCGCTGAAGTAGTTAAAGCATATCTTACTTTACTCCCTCCTCCCCAAAAGAATCCGAGTTTGCGCAAAATGTGCCTATAGCCCTTCTCCCAATTCATAGTCCATAATTTAAATCCAAACATTTTTGGCTCAATTTTTATTTTCAATTGCAATCTCTTATAAAAAAAATTTAAGTCGTGTTCAATGTAAACAAAGTGCTATATAAATATAAAAATTTTAATTATTAATAAAATGTAATATTTTAAAAAATATAAATATATAAATTATACTAACAAATATGTTCATGATATAAATTATATAATTTATGTATAATTACTTTCAATATATTTAATATTTAATTTTATTTCATTATTAGAACTATCATTATTGATAGAATTATCCTTATTAACAAAATAGAATCATATTGATATTCATATATATATTTATTAAAATTTATAGAACAATATAATTTTTTAAAAATTGTTTTGATAAATAATATTTTTTATAAATTAAATTTTATTTAAATTGAAAAATTTTTGCTCATGTAATCTCTGTGCAAAACGAGAGTAAAATACTATTTTAAAAAAAATCCTGTTGTTTAAATTAAAAATAAAAGACCAACTTACTTTGGAAGGTTGTTGAACCCTCCACATGGGGCTGTTGGTTGGAAATTGTAAGTAAAATCAAGAGGGGAGGTGGGTCTATTCCTTTTATTACCTAAAGATACATTTCCAAAAAGAAAAAAAAAAGAAAATAAATAAATTCCAGTACATTTTATGATGCACTTGTCATTGCCAATTAATTTTATTTTATTTTTTTTGGTTTCAAGGGAAGAGGGGGGCAAAGTCATATTATATTATAAGAGGAGAAGTTTAGTTCGAAATTAAATTTTAATGTCTTTCTAAAAGCTTTTGTAATCACTAGACAATGAAGCAAAAGACATGTCATTATCAATTATTACTATGGTTTTAGCATTAAAAAATTATTTTTTACAATTTCATTTAATCAACTAATTCTCATAATAACAAGTATTTTTGTTCTTTCTTCATTCGTAACAATGAAGAGAGTATCCTCTATGTGGGGGCATTGATTTAATTAATTAGGTTAAGCCCACCACACCCTTCTATTTTATTAATTTGATCGTATATATTTATTGAATGTCTCAAAATTAAATGATATATTCTTTTTTTTTAATATCCAATACTCATATATAGTTTAACATTCCAAAAAGTAGTTTTATATCAATTTATTATGTCTCCCTATTAAGAAAAAAATGTATATGAGTTTGTATAAAATTTTATCTCTCTTTTACAAAAGATTTATAAAAAATCTACTTAGTATTTAATTGTATTTCTCTTTTACAAAAATTTTAATAAAAATTGTATTTAAATTTTTTTATAAAATTGTTTTTCTTTTTTTGCAAAAGATTCAATAATATTGACCCAGCATTTAATTTTTGGTACTATCTCAAACAACTTTTATCTCATAAATTCAATGTTTAATTTTTTAAAATTAAAAATTTAATGTTCAATTTTTTAATTTACCAAACAACGCTTTAGTGAAATATTACGATAAAAAAATTAAAAATATATTTATAATAATTTATATATAAATGTCAAATTAATTGATATGTGCATATGTAAAATAATTATTCCATTATTTTTTTAATTTTTATCTGTTTAATTCCTTTGAAAAGAACATTATGAATTTAAATTCTTCCGAACCCATGACAAATAAAATGATTTTCTCCTTATTTCTACGCCATTTGTCAATTGGATTGCTTCACGCCTGTATACTCCACACGCAGAGATAACCTTGCTAGATTTTAGCTATCTTAATTAATTAATGCAAACTCAACAATTTTCTTTTGTGGGAGAGATATTGAAATTAACGTATATGGAGTTAACATATAAACATGCAATAACGTTTAAATATTTCAAAATTTTAATTTAGAAATTCAATTAGATATTTTATTAAAACTCATGATTTCTTTGATCTTAGGCCTAACTCTCCTTTAATGTACTAAAGAATTTAATTTAATGCAAAAATAAAATTAAAATAAAAAACGAGGCTTTTTTTTGCACTAATTAAAAAAACCTAAAATTCAAAAACTAAATACAAAATATTATTGTTATTAATTCAACCAAAATTCGTTTCATAATCATCTCCAACAAAAAAAAAAAAATCCCTCTTTGTCAATATAAGGAAAAATGGTAATTGGATGAGTTTGAATTAAATATGAAATGTATCGTACATTCATTACTCATTTGTATAAATCATTTGATTATAAATTGTAATTATTTAAAAATATTATTTATTTTGTCAAAAAATGCAATTTTGTTTTTTAAAATTAAAAATGTACTTAAGAGAAGAAGGGTACAACTAACCAAAATTGTAAAAAGTTAAGGGGGTAAATTCATAAATAAAGCATAAAAGTAGGTTAGCATTGAAAAAAAGAAATTTAAATCAAAATAACTCTCTTCTTGCAGAGAGTAGAGACTGAAAAACTGAAACTGCTTTTTTTTTTTGCTAAATTCACTTCAAAGCCAGGAAAACTTTTCCATAAATAACTGAAAGTCTGAAACAGAGATTAAAATCTGAGAAAAAAAGAGAAAAATGTTCAGATTACATAAGCAAAAGTCTGATAAATCTGGTAACAGACTCGATTTCAGGTTCTCCAGCCTCCAAGCTCTCCAGGTCTCTCTTGCACTCTGTTTTTCTTTTTTGAATTTTTTTCTCTAATTTTTCGTAATATTTTCAGTTCTGAATTATTTCTTTGTTATAATCAGCCAAAATTCAACCTTTTTCATTTTCCTTTTTCTTTAATTATGCTTTCACTGTGCCGATTTTAATTATTTTTATTTTCTTAATCATGGCTGCAAGGCTAGGTTGAGCGGTGCTTTTTCATTAGTATTTTTTATTTTCTGAGTTCGTGGATCGTTACTAATAATAGACATATTGTTTTGTAATTTTTTTTCTGATTTCTTGATGATATTGTTATGTAATTTAAATTTAATTTCCGTATATGAAGATTTATTATTGGCACTTTGGAAAAAAAGGCTAAATTTTCAGCTTAGGTTTTGTTTGTAGTCAGATCAGCTAGCGTTTCAGCTTTGACTACTACAGTGTTCTCTTCTGTTGGACTGTCAATTTTACCTAGTCAAATACTACCTAATTTTGAACCGGAAATTATTGAGTTGAAATAATTATACAAATTGTTGTGGAATTTTTGGAAATAATTTGAAGTTTCTTCTAAAATTTTATTCAAAAGAAATAGTGATTTGATATGATATTGGTTGCTATAAAAAGATAAAATGTGAGAAAAAAAATTCATTTTATTAGGCTCTCTTTGGTCGTTGCTTTTGCTATTTGTGACACCAAAAAAATAATAATAAAATTTTGAAAAGTTTGAATTAGAAAATGGTGAGTTATTTGTAAATGCTATTTACAAATATGGCTTGATTTCTTTCACACAAATGTCAGTTATCACATAAGTTGGTGATTGGGACTCACATGTCTGTAAATGTGATTGATATTCATGTAAGAAGAAAAAATGTGTGTGAAAATAGGCCCACCCTAACAAAATATGCCATTTTAGTTTTATATGAAGTAGTTATGTTTGAATGTATTTTAGATTTTAGCTACACGCTTATTTTAATAAAAATAAAATTATATATATTTCTATTTTGTTTTCACGCCTTTAACAAGTTTTAAGGAAACAATAATCAAAGAGTTTAAAAGCAAGTAGCAAAAGTAACAATTTAATTGAAGTTTAGGTTTTTCTTTTAACATTTTTTTTTTCAGGCCAAAGTTTTAGATGTTTGATTTAACTGTATGGTGTGCTTGTCTTTTTGTAATTATTCTTATCTTAGGGCCTGTTGTTGTCTAGTTAAATGCTGCTTCTGCTTAGGTGATTCTTGATAAAGTTTTGGACAATTGAATTCTTGAAGGTTCCAAAAGGATGGGATAAGCTTAGCGTGTCAATTATTTCTGTGGATACTGGCAAAACCATAACCAAGTCAAGCAAAGCATCAGTGCAAAATGGAAATTGTCGATGGACAGAGACCTTTTCAGAGTCTATTTGGATTGCACGAGGTGATACTTCGAAAGTGATTGATGAATGCTTATTTAAGCTTGTTGTCGCCATGGTATGGTGCTTTACCTTGATCTTTTCTAAAGCTTTGTCTATTGTTGTGGACTTGGTTTATTTATGTCAGGGTTATAAATAATTAACTTAAACTGATATTATTGTAGGGATCATCTAGATCTGGCTTCCTTGGAGAGGCAACAATTAATCTTGCAAGCTACATAAGTTCAAAAAGTTCTATTCCTCTTTCATTACCATTAAAGAGATGTAACCATGGGACAGTCTTACAGGTGAGATCTAAAGTTGTTTCCTGTTTTAAGTGCCTAATAGTTGTACCATTTTTTGCTGTGACATAAAAGTTCTGAAAAACCCTCTATCCTAATTTTAAAAAGAGAATTTTCTTTTAAATAGAAGGTGAAAGATAAATTGTGCTTTTGAACTGCTTGGTGCCATTGTGTGTTGTTTTCATTGCCAAATTGTGACTTAAAGGTTCGATATGCTACCATTCCATATTAACACCTAATTGAAGAGTAGTGGATGATACACATTAGCAGTGCTTCATCCATGGAGAAAAAATTAGTTATAGTTTAAAGTCGAGTTACTTTTGGGGGAGGAATTAGTATGTAGAAACTGATTCAATGTTCCCTAAAGCTTATTCAGATAATTTCGTTGACAGTGCATTAGGTTTTGGACTTTTAATACCTGAACCATAGTTTCCAGTCAATGCACTCGATTTTGCAGGACAATTTATTTATTTTTTATCTAAATCACATGTCAATTTGGAACAGATGCTCAATTATTCACCTTTCTTTGATGTAATTGTTAACATCTGCTGCCTTATGATTGTCTGCAGGTTAAAATTCAGTGTTTGACACCGAGAGAAAAACTCAGGTTTGCCATTATGTGTGAAATCTTACACTGTTTAACACAGTTTTTATATGATTTTGAATAAACTTATTGTATCTTTTAAAGGGATGAGCAATGGAAAGATACAGACTTGTATTTGGAGAATGGGTCTCTGGAATATGATGAATTGGAAAACAAATCGGATGTTTCTGATTGTACATTTACCAGGAGTGTTGGATCCTCATCTAATAATCATTTAGAGGGTAGCCTTCATCCTCGAAAAATGTCTAGTAGGGTATGGTCCCTTGATCTCATATCGAGTTGTTTTGGAGATATGTAAAGACTATTTTCTTTGGTCAACTTTCCTTTCTTCAATTATGTTTCTTTTAACTAATTCTGTAATTTTGTGTGAATATAATTAAAATTCTTTACTATTAATATATTTCAATATTATTATATATTGATTACTAATATATAATTCTAGATATTATGACACTTTGTTCATCTAAGGACCAGGCTTCTATTCTTGTTGATGGTTCCACGCAGATAGTGTTCACTGTTTAAGAACTTTATGAACAGTTGACTTCTTTCTACGCATTTTTCTAGATTGCATGCATTCAAACCCAGGGCTTCATGGTGACAACAAAGTATGCCATCTAATCAAGGTGTAGGCTGCAGCACATGCTGTGAAACATAATACTGTTAAAGTTTAGTTGAAACATTTAGATATCCAGTACTTCTATTGTGTCAACCCAAACTTTAAAAAAGAATTTTAATATTGCTGAAACTAGATGAGTTACAAAACCGCTAATAGTTGGCTTGTAGTGTGCAAAGAGTTGCGTAAGGACCTTTGTCTCTTGTAGACTGGAAGACAGCTCAAGCATTCTCAATTAAGTGTCTCTGCAATGTCTTTTATGAGGCTGATGAAACCGTCTCATGTCTGTGCAGGAAACAAGTTTCTCCGCATCAGACTCACGTAATAGCTTTGACTCCTTGGATGGTTCCTTTAACAGGGAAAATTACTTCCTTCATAATGGGGTTATGAGCAATCTAATTGGAAGACAAGATTTAACTGGTTCTCAAACTAGTTCTTCTCGTGGATCTTATTCTTTTAATCATTCGTCCAGGTCAAACCACTCATCCTTTACTCCAAAAGTCTCCACTTCCGGAAGCCATCCTCAAAATCATAGAGAAGACTTCAATCGGGTTTCACATCTTGTTCCCTCTTCTCCACGACGTAATGCTGGTTCATCTAAACATCTCTTGGAAGCTGCTGAGATTAAAATTGGGGAGCTCCGGGCAGAAGCAAGGATGTGGGAGCAAAATGCTCGAAAGTTGATGATTGATCTGGAAAATTTGCAGAATGAATTTTTTGACCAGTCAAAACGCCAAAAAAGTCTTGAGGTGGCACTTTCAACATCACGGGCAGAATGTGATTGCTTGAAGCAGGAGGTCGAACAAGTAAAGATCTTGTTGGAGTCACAGATGAAAGAGGCCGCTGCTGAGAATTTGAAGTTTCAGACTAAAAATGCTGACTATGTTCAAAAGGAGATGGAAGATGAGATAAAGTTTCAGAGAGAGGAGAAAGCTAATTTAGCCTTACAGTTGAAAAAAACCCAAGAATCAAATATTGAGCTTGTTTCCATTCTTCAGGAGCTGGAAGAAACCATAGAAAAACAGAAACTAGAAATTGATAGCCTTTCTAGTGTGAAATCTGAATATGAAGAATTAGAAAAGGATGACTTCGGATTTGAAGGCAGTTGGCAAATAAATGCTGACATGCAAGTTTCAGCAAAGCAGACCATAAAATCTTCTTATTCTGATGGAGAAAGTGGTGTTGTTGAACACCAAAGACGAGGTTTGCATGCAGAGAACAGGAATCTGGAGCTCCAGTTTCAGCTGCTGCAGGAATCACACGGGAAATTGGAAAGCACCATTCAGTTTCTGGAGAAATCTCTGGAAGAAAAGAACCATGAGATGGAGATTGAACAAGGTCTAAGGAGTCAATCTCTTATGGATTGTGAGGCTGAATGGAGGGGCAAATTAGCTGAAAAAGAGGAAAAAATCATTAATTTGGAAATGAAATTGTCTGAAGCTCTTGATGTTCAAGGTTCAAAGGAAGTGGATTCGGAAAAAGAAGGTAATTATAATCTAATCAAAGAAATTGAAGCTCTAAAACTGAAGGTGCAGGAACTTGAGAGTGATTGCACTGAGCTTACTGATGAAAATCTGGAACTTCTTTTCAAGCTCAAAGAATCAAGAAAAGATCACAGTGCGACCTCTAATTCTCTTTTACCTGATCATCCAGGAGAGAACTCTCTTTCTAGACATGAACCTGAAGTAACCTCTTGCAACTATGAAGATGAGCTGAACAAAAAACCTCTTACCGAAGTACCTTCTGCTGATCTGTTATGGGTTCAATCTTTAGTTGTTGGAAATAGATGTGCGGACCTTGAGCTGCAGTTGGAAGCTTTCCAGGACAAAGCTTCTTATCTTGATGGCGAACTCTCCAAATGTCGTGCCACAGAAGAAGAACAGGAGATTGAAATTGTGACACTGCAACAGCAATTAGAGCATTACCAACAGACAGAAATTGAGAGTAAGAACCAACCTTCTCTTGCCGCTAGAGAACCCAGGATTTCTGAATCACCTGCTGCTGTTGAAATCTCTAAATTGCTAGCTGAGTTAGATGAACAGATTCAACTTTCTTTAGATGACTTAAAGCAACAGCATGCTCTTAAGTCACATGCAAATCCTGAGGGAATTTGTGGTTCCAATGACTCACAGATTTTGAAGAGTACTGATTTGATAAGTCAAACACAGCAAGTTGAGATTATCTTGAACAATTTTTTCCTGCTAAAACAATTCTTTGGAGAAAAAAGAGCTCTCGGTGATGAAGAATATAGAAAAGAGGCCACAGGCTCAGCAGTGAGTGCCGATGACATCCTGGATAAATTGGAGGATTATAAATTAAAGGAGTTAAGTTCTTGTAAAGAAGACAGTGATCTAGGAATGGAATTGTCAGAGAAGATCTCCAAGATAGAGAAGCTTAAATCTGATAATTTGCTAAAGGAAGATGAGCTTGAGGCTTTAAGGCATCACCAAAAAGAGTTAGAAGCTCAGGTTTCTTCTGTTCTGAAGGATAAAAGACAGTTGGAGGAAAATATAGAAATCATGCTCAGAGAAAGTGCTCTTACGGCGAAATGCTTGGATGATTTATGCAGTGAAATGATGGTGCTTACTAGCAATATGGATTACCAGATTTCAGACAACAATATTCTTGTAAAGAAGTCTTCGGAACTTGAAAGTGGTAAGCAGGAACTGGAAGTTCATTTATCTGAACTAGAAGAAGAAAACATTCAGTTATCAGAACGGATATGTGGTCTGGAAGCACAATTAAGGTATCTGACTGATGAGAGAGAGTCTTGTCGTCTGGAACTACAAAATTCAGAATCTCAAGCAATGAATTTCAAGGAAGAGAAAATAAGATTGGAAAATGAAATGGAGGCACAGAGGGTTGATATGAGACAGGAGATGGAAGAGATACAAAAGCAGTGGTTAGAAGTTCAAGAGGAGTATGATTATCTAAAAATTGTGAATCCCAAACTGAAAGCTACTACTGAAAGTCTCATTGAAGAATGTAGTATGCTTCAGAAAGCAAATGGAGAATTAAGGAAGCAAAAGATGGAGTTGCATAAGCATTGTGCAGTCTTGGAGGCAGAGCTGAAGGAATCTGAAAAACTTTTTTCTAATATGGCTAACGAAGTTGAAGCTCTTGAAGAAAAGTATTCCATGATGCTTGAAGAAATAGCCTCAAAAGAGAAAGCCTTTAATTTGGGTCTAAAAGTACTTCAGGAGAACATGAAACAGAAAGAAAAAATAGTTCTTGAAGAGGGCCTATTAAATCAGAAGTACTTGGAGAAGACAACTGAAGTTGACAACCTCCAAAGAGAGGTTGCACAACTCACCGAACAGATATCTGCAACCCAGGACGAAAAGGAGAAAACAGCATCAGAAGCTGTGCTTGAAGTTTCTCATTTATGTGCAGATAAAGTGATGCTTGAAGCTGCTCTACAAGATGTTCAAGGGAAACTTAAAATATCTGAGGCTAAGCTTAATGCCCTGCAGGTGGAATCTGAAGCTGAGATACAAGGGCTAAAGGAAGAGCTAGCTGCCGCAAAGCAAAAACAGGAAATTTTGATGGCTGACCATGAAAAGCTACTAGACTTGTTGGAAGATGTCAAATCCAATGACGAAAAACTGAAAGGCACTGTTAGGGGACTTGAACTGAAACTTAAAGTTTATGAGTATGAGAATCAACAATCAGCGGAAGAAATTTCCAGCCTTAAGGTTCAATTGCAGAAAACAGCACTTCTACAGGATGAAATTTTAGCTCTTAAAAGAACAGTTAGTGAAACGAAGTTTGAAAATGAAAGGCTGGAAGCTTCTTTCCAAATTCTAACCAGAGATCATGAAGAACTTAAGGTTGAAAGAACCCTATTTGTCCAGAAAATCTCTAATAGTCAGCAAGCTCTTTCTGAATTAGCTGATTGCAGATGTAGGAAAGTTGCCCTTGAAGAAAAGGTCCTGAGGCTGCTGCAGGGTGATTTAACTGCAAGAGAAGCCTTGGAAACTCAGGAAGCTGCACTTAAAAGCGAGCTAGCCCAAATTAGAAGAGAAAATAGCCAATTCCAGAGGAAGATAAAGCACCTTGAGGAGGAGAAAGACGAGTGCCTGAAGAAAGCCCAATGTCTGGAAGAGGAACTGAAGCAACTTAAACAGGGTCAATGCAATTCCCAGAATGTAAGTCTCTTCTTTACCCTAATTCCAAGCATCGAAGTAGTTTTATCAATAATGATCAGATGGTTTGTATTAAGAATTTCCCTTTCTCCTATGTACTTGATTCCATTAACAATCAGCTTAAAAATTATGTGTGATTTTTTACTTTTTGATCCTGAAATAGCAGGGCATAGAAGAAAACAATAACCCGCTATCTTGTGAGAAGCTGTTCACTGAAATGGACCAAGGACAACATTGTTTAGATGAAAATCACGCGCAGGTAAATCTTTTGACTGTTATTTTAATTCATGCTAGTTGATCATAATCTTTTAGATTGGGCAATCAGTTGTATGTAAAGGTTCTCTATGACGGAGAAGTAATAAACTGCTTTCACACCTTATCTTATGTGTTTCTTTTTATTTTTTTATTTTTTTTTCCAGGTTGATAACAATCAAAACTGGAGTAATGAAGCTTCTCAAGTTAAAGGAGTTCATCTTTTGTCAAAGATTCAGAATCTTCAAAATGATCTTGCAGAAGCTTTAGAGGCAAATGACATGTATAAGGCCCAGATTAAAAGGTGGGTACAAGTGGTAGATTTCATGATCCACAATAGTTATTTGACTTATTAAACCTAACATCTGAAATAGGATATATAGTCTTTACATTTTAGTTAACAAGGAATTACCAACAATGAATTTTCCATGTTCCATTTCTTAGATATTATTTCATGTTTCATTGTCGTGCTACTACCATTGTGTCTTGACAACTATGTAATTTCTCAGTAAGTTATTGTTGCAGTCTAATGGATTGTATCATGATGAAATGATGAGTGGAGTGCTGGCAAGCAGTTACTTACACAGGTTGTAGTTAAAATCACAATATTTACTTCTATACTGTAGTTGCTTATTGGGAATGGAATATTAGTCTAGCCAAAAACTATTCCTAAGCTCTTTCTTCACTTTGGATGGAAAAGGAAGGGGGAAAAGAATTAAATACAAATAATCATCATATTTTATATTATACAAGAATCTTAGGTTTATATACAACTAACTAGGGGTTAAACTAGGAAACTAAATCTTCCTTAATTCTAGGGATACAAATACTTAATTCTAGAGATACAAATATAAATATACAGATTACAAGATTACAACCAGCTGTAAATAAGTTTTCCCACACTCCCCCTCAAGCTGGTGAATAGGTGTTTTCCATTCCCAGCTTGGAAATAATTCCTTGAAATGTTGCACTGCTGAGACCTTTAGTCAACACATCTGCAAGTTGACCCTTGGTTGATACATAAGGTGTACAAATCAACCCACTGTCTAGTTTCTCCTTTATGAAATGTCGGTCTACTTCAATGTGTTTTGTTCTGTCATGTTGTACAGGATTGTGGCAATGCTTATTGCAGACTTGTTATCACAGTAGATTCTCATTGGTCCATCCCACTTGATCTTCAAGTCTTCTAAGATAATCTTTAACCATAGTAGTTTACAAATTCCTTGAGCCATTGTTCTGAACTCTGCTTCAGTACTTGATCTTGCCACCGCATTCTGTTTTTTTACTCCTCCAAGTCACAAGATTACCACCTAAGAAAGTATAATAGCCTGAGGTGGATTTTCTATCAGTTACTGAACCTGCATAATCAGCATCTGTATATGCTCTAGAACTAACCCCGAATTTCTTTTGAATAAGATACCTCTCCCAGGATTGGCCTTCAAATAGTGCAATATACGGTAGACAGCCTGTAGGTGCACTTCTTTAGGACTATGCATAAATTGACTTACCACACTCACAGCATATGCTATATCAGGTCTAGTATGTGAGAGATAAATGAGTCTTCCAACTAATCTTTGGTACATCTCTCTATTTACAGCAGCATCTTCATTAGCTTCTCCAATTTTATGATTAGGATCCATAGGGGTATTTGCAGGTTTACATGCAAGCTTCCCAGTTTCCTTCAAAAGATCCATCACATATTTCTGTTGTGAGATAAAATACCATGCCGTGAGTGAGCTACTTCAATTCCTAGGAAGTACTTCAATCTCCCTAGCTCTTTTATCTCAAATTCTCTAGCCAAACACTGTTTTAGAGATTCTCTCTCTTTTCATCATCTCCAGTTACAATTATATCATCAACATACACTAATAGAACTGTGACTCTCCCTGAATCAGAGTGCTTGATAAACAATGTGTGATCTCCTTGACTCTGTTTATATCCCATTACTAGCATCACTTTGGCAAATCTCCCGAACCAAGCTCTAGGAGACTGTTTAAGGCCATATAAAGCCTTTTTTAGCCTGCATACTTTGTTTGCTTCTAGATGACCTTCAAATCCCGGTGGAACCTTCATATATATTTCTTCTTCCAAATCACCATGTAGAAAAGCATTCTTTACATCAAATTGTTGAAGCTGCCAATTGTAATTTGCAGCCAATGATAACAAAATTCTAATTGTATTCATCTTGGCAACTGGAGCAAAGGTTTCCTGGTAATCCACTCCATAAGTTTGAGTGTAGCCCTTAGCCACTAACCTGGCTTTATACCTTTCAACAGTACCATCTGCCTTGTATTTTACGGTGAAACCCATTTACACCCCACTGAATTTTTTCCTTTAGGCAACTCTACCAGTTCCCATGTCTGATTTTTCTCTAAGGCCTCCATTTCTATTTTCATGGCTTGCCTCCATTTCTCATTGGATAATGCCTCGGATAATGTAGTTGGAACAGAAATAGTGTTTAGGCTCACAAGAAAATTTTTGTGGATGGTGAGAATTTTTCAAATGACACAAAATTAGATATTGGGTATAGTGGATGCTTGGTACTTCTCTGGTTCCTTTCCTAATGGCAATAGGCAAATCATAATCACTGGTTATAGTTTTAGGAGATTCATGCTCATTTTGAGAAACAGAGTCAAAAACTGTAGTTACCTCATTTCCAGAGTTAGGATCAGGCTCTTGGACTGGCACTGGTTCAGGATCTGGAACTTTCCTTCTTGAGTACACCTGTAATTCCTTCATAGAATCAAGAATAATATTATCTTTTGTCACATCTTCTGTATTTGGAATGGGTTCAGACTCAAATTCAGTGTTTGACTTGGGCTCAGCAAAAACAGGTTTCGACTCAGAAGAATTAATGGGTGTAAATGTTGAAGAAGAGGGCAAATCAAGCAAAAAGAAGTCTTTATCCTTATCTTCCATGAATGAAGTCTCCCCCTGAAGATAAGGTTGAGTAAAAAATGATTTATTTTCTTCAAAAGTGACATCTGCAGACACATAGAATTTTTTGGTAGGAGGATGATAGCACTTATATCCTTTTTGAGTTGAAGAATACCCCACAAAAATACACTTAATCGCTCTTGGATCCAACTTTCTCCTGTTATGACTGTGAACATGAACAAATGATGTACAACCAAATATCCTAGGTGTGAGATTGTTTGTGGTATTGAGGTTGGGATAAAATTGTGAGAGTAGTTCCATAGGAGTTTTAAATCCCAAAACTCTTAAAGGTAACCTATTTATAATGTATGTGGCAGTGAGAACAGCTTCCCCCCAATAAGATTTAGGTACATTTGCTTGAAAAAGAAAGGCTCGGGTTATGGCTAGTAAATGACTTTTTTCCTTTCTGCCACTCCATTCTGCTGTGGAGTATTAACACAAGATGACTCATGGATAATTCCCTCTTTTTGAAAATAGGTGGATAGACTTGGTTGAAGTATCTCTTGCATTATCAGACCTAAATCTCTTGATTCTCACTCCAAATTGATTTTGGATCATGTTTTGGAAGCTTAAAAACACACTATTCACATCTGATTTGGATTTAAGTAAAAAACCCAAGAGACCCTAGTACAATCATCTATGAATGAAACAAACCATCTCGCACCAGAAATATTAGGAATTGTAGAGGGACCCCAAATGTCACTATGAATCAAGTAAAAGGGAGTAGAACTTCTTTTGTTACTGATTGGAAAAGACACACGTCTATGTGTTGCAAATTCACAAATATCACAATGAAAATCTTCAACATTTAATCCTTTGAACAAAGAGGGAAACATGTTTCTCAAGGTTCCAAAAGAAGGATGTCCAAGACGAAAATGATAAAGCCAAATTTTGTCTTTATTGGAAGATTTTTCAGAAAGAAATGACAAAGGTAAACTATTTTTGATACTACTTGTGCTATTTGATGTCTCAAGATAGTATAGTCCATCCTTCTCCTTAGCAAGTCCAATCATCTTCCCCGAACTCTGGTCCTGAAATTCACAATAAGAGGGATAAAAAGTTACTTTGCAATTCATATCTCTGGTAAGTTTTTGTATAGATATCAGATTAATAGATAATCCAGGAACATGAAGAACATTTTTTAGAACAAACGAGGGATTAACTTGAACATCTCCTAATCCTGCCACTGTGGTAAGTGAACCATCAGCAACAACAATTTTCTTATTACTAGGACACAGGTTATATGTACTAAACTTTTGTGAAGAATGTGTCATGTGGTCTGTGGCTCCTGAGTCAATGACCCAAGAACTCGTAATAGGCTTAGCCGAGACATTTAATCCATGAGAACCAGAAGCTTTACCTGAACTAGAAACTTTACCCAAAGAACATACCATAGTAGGCTTTTCAAGGATTTTCAATAAGTTTCTCAGCTTTTCAATCTCTTCCCTGTTGAACTCTCTTTGTTTCTGAGACATCTGTAGTACTCTAGTGATTTTCCCAGTTAACATTTTCTCAAATTGAGGTGTAGTGATATCTTTCTTTGAAAGGGTTCGGCAATGAAGGCCTAAACAGGATTCGGCAATGAAGGCCTAAACAGGATTCGGCAATGAAGGCTGAAAATTTTGCTTCCAAGAAGACCAAAGCCTATACCATGGGAAACTGAATGTAATTGAAAAAACTGCCCTATAGAATTATACAAGGAATCTTAGGTTTATATACAACTAACTAGGGGTTAAACTAGGACACTAAACTTCTTAATCTAGGATACAAATACTTAATTCTAGAGATACAAATATAAATATACAGATTACAAGATTACAACCAGCTGTAAATAAGTGTTTTCCCACAAAAACAAATAATCATCATATTTATATGACTGCCAAAGGTATTGAACTAGCAGTCTTGATTATGATCAGTAAATACTTTTATACATGACTTTGCCCTTCACTCATTTTTTAGAATGTGCATGTGCCAACTTATCGGAATATTTAGAATAAATAAGACATCAGATTCTACTCTAACAATCTTTGTATATTTTGCTCGTGTTCAGTTTGTTGTCTAAAGAAGAAAGCATCCATCCAGATGTTCCTGAGAATTCAACAGGTGAAGAGGCTGCAAGACAAGATGGTTGTGAGTGCAAGGCATCAGCGTTCGAGACAGAGTTGAAAGAATTACGTGAACGGTATTTGGAAATGAGCCTCAAATATGCCGAGGTAGAAGATGAACGGGAGCAACTTGTCATGCAGCTTAAAGCTGCTAGTGGTCGAAAGAGCTGGTTTTCATGAATCTAGGATAACTTTGATCGTATTCTTTCTCCGGCTCTGGCCTCAACACTGACAACTTCTCTTCCACCATTCATTTTTCCTATAGATTTTCTAGTAAACAAAATAGTGGTAAGAAATTAATTGTTCCTACATTGGGAGTCCAGGTCGAGAATAGGGATTTTTTGCGGGTTTAGTAAAGGCTAGTTGTAGCATAAAATATAACAATGTTAAGCATGCAGAAAACGAAAAGTATAAGGCTTTCCCTATTTTTTTATTTTCTTTACAGATGGAGTAGGGAATAATATTCTTGAGTGTTTGATCATTGATTCATGGTGAACATCATGTCCTATTTCTTGTGCTTTTCCAATAGTTGATCTCCATTAAACAAGTTCATGCCTATGATTGTCACTCTTGGGTTTCTTGAGTCCATCAAGATGAGATGGAGAATAAATTCCTTCGTAGATTTGCATTTTGATATCATTTTGCTAAGTGCTTTCATGCTGCCTACGGTTGTCATAAAAAGGCGTAAAGCTAGTACCCGAAAAAAAAAAAAGGGCATAAAGCTTGGTTCTGATTTTCAGCTTGAATGCCATTGGTGGATATTGATATGTTTCTAATGTTTTTGTTGTTTGAGTTTAAATTTTGGTATAATCTAGTTGTTTGATTTCTTGTTTGTAGTAAATTTTATGACCATTTTTAAGGATATTGAAACAATGTTGAGTTAAGTTTAATTATTGTATTTGTGAAATTAAAATCTAGTCATAGGTGTTTGAATGTAAAAATAATGTTAGGTATAAAGTGTAGTGAAAAAAATATATATCATTAAAGATTTTTTTAAAGATAATCATTAAAAAAATTAGATTAAATTTTGTATAAAATAGTTTTGTTAATAAATAATTAAAATTAATAAAATAGGCCGTATATCAAATAATATATATTTTAAAAATTCAGAATAATTCATTAACAAAAATTAAACTTAACAAGTAATATTCAGTTAATTTTTATGTATTTATTTATATAATTATTTTTATATCAAAATAATAATTATTTTTATTCAAAATAAAAAAAGCTTAAGCAACAAGGATATTTTTATGGCTAAAATAATAAAAAAGTTTTTGAACTTTATCACTTTACTAAAATAAATTTTTAATACTTTTATTATATGCAAATAAATCTTTAATCTTTAATTTATTTTCAAATAAAATATTAACTTTTAATTTATACGTAAATAAACTTCTAAAATAAAAAAAATTGGAGCCGCAATATCTCCACTGCGCCACACCACGCAATCCAAATGGATTCCCACATCACAATTGGACAAAAAATTGCCCTATAATGGCCTTGTTTGTATATAAAAAGCAAGCACCCTTCGCTCTCCGTCCTAAACTCACTCTGAATCACAAAAACCCAAACTTATTACTAGCATTGCATAGTCGGTTACAAATCTATGATATAAAAAGGTTTCTATCATGGCTTTGAAATTATTATTTGGTATCGTTTTACCCAATTCTTGCCTTCGTCTCTAGACAAAGGATGAAGTTAATATATGATATTTGATATTTGATATTTGAGTATTTGATTCAATAATATATGTAAATGCATGTAGCTTCACATTTATTTTTTTTTTGAAAAAAATGTAATAAAATAAATTTATCTCAAAATCTATGTATAAATTCTTTAGTTACAACTCTATTTATTAGTAAAATTACAAATATTTTTATAAGAGGACTCCCCAATTGTTCAAAGTTTGAATTGGATTGAATTTGAACCTGGTCGAGGGAGTATAGGTTTAATGGGAGGAGAAAGAGATAGCTAGGTTTTTCTAACCTAACCTAGAGCCATATCTAACTTTCACACATACAAATAAAAACACTAAAATTACAAATGTCAACTAGGATGAAAAGGAAGCCATTGATCACTTAATTTCCATGACTTCTTTTCATTTTTCAACATCTCCTTCATCCACCTGAAATTAGTGATTCTAGTAACGAGCTCCTCAGCCTGTACTCCACCCCCACCAACTCCCCTCTTCTATATTTGGTAAATCACTGATTCGATCATTTTTTTTTTGTAAAATTGTTCAAAAATTTTGTTTTTTTTTTTTTTTGGGAGTGCGAATAATAAGCAAGTCCATCTTTGTAGCATTTAATGGAAAAAAAAAAAGAAAAAGAAATATTAGAAATATAATTAATTAATAGGTTTTTTAAAAGTATAAAAACCAACAAATAAAATATATACGAGGAAGTGAACATTTTACATTGGAAGAATATCCAACTCTAATACTTCAAATCACAAAAATAACAAAAGAAATTTGTTATGCACAGAGAAACTCAACACTTGCTGTTGAATTATGCACAGAGATACTAACACTTGCTTTCGAAAATTTACTAAGGGACCTCTTTAATTTATAGGCATAAACAACAAAACTATATTATTTTTAAGATTTTATCATTTATTTTCATATTTGTAAATATGTAATATTTAATAAATTAAAAAACGTTACGAATATATAAATGTCAGTGTGATTAATTTGCTATATATAATAGTTGGGTAGACAGTTTCTTTTTTCCAGGAAAAAAATCCTCTCTATTACTTAAAAAATAATAAAAGTTTTCACTGTGAGTAATGCACTTTCAATTAATTAATGATTAATATTTTTTAAAATAATTTTTCTTTTTAATTAATTTTTAATTATGTTCTTACTTAATTTACAATCATTAAAATTTCTGTTTAGATTTAGTTGAAAGTATATTAATGATTTTTGGATAAAAGTAATGAAAATTTTCATTACTGTTTGAAGTTGTGAAGAGGGAATTTTTTTTAATATTTAATTTCAAAGAAATAAATATATATTTGAAATCAGAAACTTTCTTTTCACAAAGGTAAAGCTATGATTCACCTAATTAGTACTTTAATCACTATATATGCATATTATTCTTTTGATATTGTAAGGAAAAAAAATACTAAATATTCAAAACTAAAATACTAAATTTTAAAAAATAAAAATTTTTTGTGTTCGAATAAAGAAAAAAAAACATAGTTTTGAAACATCCATGTTAAGAATGGACAAAGAAAAAATAAAAAGGGAGTATCAAATTATTAGTAATTATATATAATAATTAGATTGTGATTCAGCGATGCAATGAATAATTTTATTTATTCCATGCGTAAATAAATATAAATTAGTATTTTTTTTAAATTATATTCAAAATTTCAAAATTTATAACATATATAAAATTTTATATCTGATTAACTTGTCATAAAAAATATATTTAAAAAAAAAAGAAAATATCTTCACTTTCCATCATCTTGTTTTGCAATAATATTTATACACCTAAAATTATTTTAAATAAAAAATAAATTACATGTCTTTCTTAAAAGAACAAAAACACATATTATTGAATGATGAATTAAATAATAAAAAAAAGTAGAGGTATACTTTCACTTTTGTAATTTTGTTTAAATTAACATACAAAATACGAAAAATGTTCGGAGATTTGTGAAAAAAAAAAACTGAAAAATTATTAATTTTCATAAGAATAAACTTGCAATAGTAATAGAATTTATCTTGGAAAAAGAAAGATACAAATTGAAAAAATAAATTGCAATAACAATAGAATTTCAAAAAATTATAAACCAAAAAACAAAAATGATATAACACTTTATATTTATAGTATTTAATTTGTAAAATAACTATTTTGATCATATTTAGAATAGAGTGGGTAATTGTAATAAGTGATAAAAATCAAATCAAATTTTTTACCTATTTTTTAAATATAAAATTGATAGTTACACTTGAGATGGATATATGTCTTATTATTTAGAGATTTAATATAAAAAGATTATTTAGATTTTCAATATTTTACTTAAATTATGAAAAGATAATTTTATTTGATGCAGATTAAGATAAAAGAATATAATGAGTTTTGGAAAGAATTGGATAAATTTAATCTTTATAATTTTAAAACATGGTGAAATATTTTCGTAATTAAATAATTTATAAAATAAGGTTATTTGGTAAAAAAATTATTTGGATAAAATTTATATTTTAAAATTTTAATTTTAAAAAATATAATTAAATTAATTTGATTTTCAATTATAATTTGAATAATTTGAATATTTGAATAAATTCAAGATTATCCGATTTGTAATTTAAAAAAGCTATACTCTTAAAAAAATTTTATCCTATATGTCAATTAAATAAAGTGTTCACATAACTACATCACAAACCTTATTAAGTGTCTATATATGTTATAATATAATAATATATATAATTTCTATAAAATTGTTATTTTTCAATAAATAAAACAATATTCTTGGCAACACCCACACAAGTTTATTACCTTATATCTTGGATTTCTTGGATTTGATTGGTAGGAAAAATAAGCTAACATATCTTATATTTTATATGTGCTTTTTTTAATTCAAAATTTTTAACACTCATATACTAATTAATTCGATTAAAAAAATTACACATCTAAATTTCCTCAAACTTGCATAAAAAATCTGTTCAACATGCACAACATGCATTCCATATGAACTAATGCTCATTTGATCCTTTTATTGGAGTTAAATTGGAATGTTATAAAATCCTCGTAGTCCTCTTGTTTTTCTTTTGTCCTAGTCAATGTCACGATGCCATAGATATGTAGAGAGGGCTTCTAATGAAGCACACCTGCAAGCAGCCAGGTAATTAACCAGTTAGAGCTCTGTTAGAAAAAAATACACATTGTAGATGCAATTTAGATGAACATGATTATAAAAAAAAAAAAAAATCCAGGTTGTAGATACAATTTAGATGAACAAGAATGCAGAGACAGTGAAAGAGTAACTTTGAAGGCAAATTAATTCCAAAAGTTTCATACCATATCAAAACCAATTAATGAAATGATAAACCAAAAATGGGTTCTCTGTATAATCTTATTAAAACCACAATTTGTCAAACTTCAATTAAAAAAATTATAAAAAAAAAAAAACTTTGTTTTCACTTTCTTTTCCTCATATTTTCTTGTTAAGCAAACAGTGAATAGAAAGAAGGATCAACTTGAACTAACTTGGAAAACAAATATATTATGATCCACCATTGGGTACTACTGTAATTATTTCTATGTAAAAACTCCTCATTTAACCAGACATCTGATACAAAGTATGATAAAAATAAATTATCATTACCAATACTAACATTTGTGCTTAATATGCCTTTAAGTTTTCTCCAATATCTCAATGTCCACATATCCAGAATAAATAATAATATTTGGAAGCAAATCTCACTAATTATAATCTAGATCATATATTTTAAAAGGAGTCATGAGAGCTAGGAGAAATTGATAAAAATTAATGGTGATATTTTGAATAGAACTTATATTTGAATTATAATTATCTTTTCTAAAAAAATGATTTCGATATTAGTATTTGAGCCTTCTTAAAAGTAGAAAAATATCATGTGAAGAGAATGAGCATTAGCAGCATTCAGGTTCACATAAAACTAGTTTTAGAAATTAGAACTGGTACCTTCCAACTCCCGAAAAATGTTTTTGTTGCTTGAAAAATCAAATTTAGTAGCGAAGTATTTATTTATTAGGAGCATATCAACTATAATCATACTATTTTAACTAATTATAATTCGAAATTATATGAAATCTATATAAATTTTATATAAAATTTATTTTTAAAAGTGATGAGTACGTACATAATTTTCGATTCTGATTCAATAATTATAAAATTATAATAAAAATAGTTATAAATAAAATATTCCCATTATATTTTGCTGTACAAGTGTAAATGTGATATCGATGACTACTCTTTTTGGACCATTATTTTTTTCTGAATTTGACTTGATATGAAATGTGATATTGATGACTACTCTCTTCATCCCCTTATTTTGTTTTAGTTTGACTTGGTATGAAAATTAAAAGAAGGCATTGATTTTGGTTAAATAAAATTTTGAAATTTTAATTGTAATACAGCTAAAATTCAATTGGCTAATGCGAAAAAGCTTTTTTAAAAATAATGAAATATTAACATGAAATAAAGGAAAAAAAAAATAAAAACCATTAAATGTGATTGATTTGCATGAAAATAAAAGTAAGCGTGAGAAAAGAGTAATTATAAAATTAGTAAGCCAAACCCAGTGAGATACATTTTTCATTTCAAGTTTTAGTGTTCTACTTTTTGCAGTCAGTTCAAAGGCCCATTTTAAATAAGAAACAATCGTACAACCAAAATAAGATAAACCCAATTTTCTTCTTTGTTTGGCTATATATCTATTTTTAAATTTTTTTTTTTTAATTTTTGCTAAACTCATTAGATTTTTAATAAAATTTTAAAATTTTTTTTTGTATCATTTTGGTCTTATGTCACCGTTCTAATTATCAAGAAAAGGAGACGAGGAAAAAATAATTTATGGACCACATTTTATTTACGCATGAACGATGAATCAATGATGCCAATTGTTATTCCAATTATACACTGCTTAGTGTTCCACAACTAATCAGAAAAACACCGGCAACAACTGAACACTCTACAGGTTGGAGCCATTAACTGACATTGGCTCTTTTATAGACCTTACCAGTCATTCTATTCAATTCTTATTCTGTTCTTTCATCTGTCTACAGTATTGAATATGCACGGATTACCTCCACGATAGGCGCCCGACACAAAGGGCATTTTCCTCCGCCACGAACCAACTCGTTTGCGCACTTTGAACAAGTGCACATGTGTCCGCATCTGCAACCAATTTTTTAATGTGAAAATACGATTGTGATATATAATCAGCATCGAAGGAGTATCAAATCATGCTTTCCGTTATGTGCGTACACCAGTACTAGCAGATGATATTGACCATGGAAAGATTTAGAAAAGTTAAGGTAAACCTGTACAAAAGTGAATCGATATGGCTATCACAACAAACACAGCATGTCCCTTTCCTCACATGACCCCATTTAGAACCATCCTCGGATGTTTCTGCATTCAAACCTGGAATGCGAGTGAAAAATTAGAAACAGAAACAATTGACACTACCTTAAGGCACTGATAAAGAAAAATAAATCCAAAATAATGCTTTGCAGGAAAGAAAAAAAATAGTTGGGAGGATTTAAGAACCTTTTTCACCTGCTGAGCGATTCAAAGCAGCAGAGACTTCCTGCCTGACAGATCGCTGTAACTCTAACTGCATATCCATGCAGGCTTCCAACATCCTCTGCATGTGGCTCATGCCCTGCTGGAGTCTTGCCATATCAGCTCTTAGATCATTAAACATCTCCCATTCCTGCTAAAATTAAGCAGCCTCATAAATAACTTAAAAGATGCAGAGTAACAAAAAAGCACAGTACAGGGACTCAAAATATGATATCTGGGCTTATTTCCGGAGAACATTCAGCATCTATTCAACTAGCCATGACTGAAAAACTATAATGAAACAAAAGAAGTTAAACACAGCAGTCACCCGAAGAGTTTTATATAAAATTGATCGTTATCACTATAGGGAGGAAAATAAAATCCCTGATACATAATTCAATTACTTATCCAACAAATGTCTTTCCAAATGGGACCATTTCCACAAATGATTTTACCTTCAGTATGAAACTCACGGTCAAAATTCCTAGGGCTCACCTCTATATGTTAAAAATAATTCCAAGATAAAACTTAAATTTAACACCAACACTTTATAAAGAAAAGAATGGAAACGATATGATTCAATAGTTATATGGTAATATGCGCCTGCAAGACTAAGAAAGATGGCTCACAATTTCTGATCTATGCATGCTGTGCCTAGACCAACTGGTGTGATGTAAATCCTGATGCCACAGCGGCTGTGGTGGTGGCACTGGAGGAGAAGGTAGCACCAGTGAAGGCCTGTTAATAGCATCATTCTGATCATCATTTGTTTCCTCCCTCTGCTGCTCTTGATAACGCTCTGGTGAGGCTGGAGTCGGCAAGTTTCTGTGCAGATCCCAATCAATGGGAGAACGACCTTGTCTGTCCACGTAAGACTGTATTAATTGGTCTAGACTTTCCCGGAAACCACTTCGAAGAAGATTAGAGACACTCCTCCTACAAATTAAATTACATCCATCAAAGAAGTCATATTTTACTTTAATAAGAGTATGATCAACTACCTGCTCAGAAGTTCTCTAAGTTCCATACTGTACACATTATCATCTTCAGGTGGATGAAATCTACTGAACCTTCTAACTGGGATTGCACGGCGTGCTCTTGGAGGATCAGAAGGCCCTTCTGACCAATTATCAATAGCTTCCAGAGAGCCATCCTCCCGCCAAACTCTCTGGGCTTCTGGTGGCTGACTTTCTTCTCCATTTACATTTCCAGGAATTTCTTGGTGATACTCAATAACTGAACTTTCTTGCCAATTTGTATCCATTTCTTCTGCGTTGCCCTCCCTCCATTCATTGAACTGAGCATATGTTGGCTGTTGCCATTGTCCTCTCTCATTCCCACCTTGGTTAGCATTTTCTTGCCAACTTATGCTCTCAACAGCCATGTTGCTAACCATATCTCCAGTTTGATTAGGCAACTGTCCAATGTCACTTTCCAAACTCCTAGGTTGTGTATGTTCATTGTTTTCACCCTGGACATCTAGTGACGTGTTTGTTTGGGTGAGTTCATTTCTAGAATCATTGATGACATTGCTAGTTGTGGTTTCAGAATTGCTGCTTGCTTGAACACGGACAATTGTTTCTAATCTGTTGCGGAACCCTTCCCTGAATGAGAAAAACAATAGGTTTTTATGGAAATCAGTGCACAACTTGAATGAGCTGAAAAAGGCATTGCACAGTATTGTTCAAGTCATAATCTAGACACAGGTAGATGGACTCTGCACTTGTGATCCATGTCTCATATATATATATATATATATATAACCCATACCTACTACATAGCTTTCATTGTTTACAGGCAAGATCTACATTTATGTTTCTCAAACAAAAACAAAAATGGAAATCAAAAATCAAAATAAGTTGTTCCAATTTTAGAGGAACAGCAGAAGGTTAAAAACCCATGCATAACCGCATAGTAGAACAAACAAAACCTTATCCCTACAAGGGGTATAACTGCATTATACATCAACAAAAAGTAACAAGATTGTCAATCCTGAACACAAAATCCCAAGTATTATAGCAATGCATCTTCTTCTATACATCATATGTCAAAATTCCTCAGCTCATAACATCGTTGTTTTCAAACATCAACCTTCTAAAAATCATCACCAAAAAATTTTGAAAAACAGTAACAAATTCTTCAGTAAATTTTTAATGTAAGTGAATGAAAAACGTTCCTACCTCAAACCAGATACAGTGTGCCGTTGTCTTAATTGACTTAATTCACTTGCTGCCATTGAAGGTGGTCTCTCCTGCTCGACAGGTCTTTCATTTCGTAAGAATCTACCTCTGAGTAGTGACTGCAAGGTTAAAGGCATTGCTAGTTAAGCATGGCCGCATATGCAAAAAAAAAAAAAAAGAGGACTACAGAAGGAATTCCATTGAGCAAGACAATCTTAGAGATGCACAAACTTAACAAACTTCATGATAGCCAACTGACCTGAATGCGGTTACGATGAGCAAAATCAGATACAGCACGGTGCTCCAACAAACCCTGAAGTTCCCTTTGTCTTTCTCTTTCAATCCTCACAAGTAAGTCAATTACAGCTTGTCTTCCACGCAACCTTAGCAAGTCCCTCCGAATATGATCTGGTTGGCCTTCATCATGGTCAGCACCTGAGCCTTCACGAACTTGATCAACTTGCACACCAATTGTAGCTGCCTGATCTTCCTCCCCACCCCCACGAACTCCTCGTTGCTGACTTGTCATTTGCACCCACTCCCGGACAATTCTAACTCTCTCACGCTCTGTTTCACCAAGCCACTCAGCTCTAGGACTTCCAGCCCTTTGGGTAACATTGGATGAATGATCACTAATTCCACTCTCCATCCATCCCCGAACAATCTGTCTCACCCTCTCCCTCTCGACTTCGCCAAGATCAGGAGACTGCTCCCTACTAGACCCATTATCATCCCTACGATCGTTCTGTGACACACTCTGATCATGTAACCAAGTTCCATACTCATTCTCACTCTCACTCACATCCCCAACACTCCCATGATTCTCACTCCCACGACTCTCAGACAAAGTCGTACTAGACATTGTCGTATTACCATCAGCAGTCCTTTGCTGCCTCAACCTTTCCCTAACCCTCTCCCGTGCCCTATTCAATAAATGTTCATCCTCCAACTCCCTCCACATTTGCAAAATCGCAGAAGCCCGAGTACTGGGCCTCTCAACATTCCCCCCTTGTCGCCTAGAAGTAGGTGACTGTGACTCTCTCAAGAAAGAAGAGTCGAGCATTGAAACAGTATGTAAACCGGCTAAAGCCATCAACTCAGACTCCCTATTCCTCCTCTCCATTGTCGTTATCATTTCCTGAGCCTGCCTAGCAGCCCACCTACTCAAAATCCTAGAATGCCGCCTTCTAGCAGCAGATGACTCAGCTAAGTCATCACCTTCAAGATCAGACCTTCTCCTCCTCCTAACAAGTTGATCACCCTCATCATCCTCATCATCACGATTTCTATCAGAACTACATGGTGCAAATGACATACAATCATCTAAATGCCCTCTCATTAATTCTTCCAAACCCATTTCAAATTCAGCTCTGGCATCATTTGGGGATTCTGGTTTTTGCTGTAAAGCTTGAAAATCTGTCATTTTTTTCTACACCTAATTTTTTTTTCCTAATGCAAATAACTCATTTTCTTCATTTGCCTTCTAATGTACCCAAGATCACAACTTCGTAATAAATATACCAAAAATTACAAACCAAACCCTAATTTAACTTTCAAAATTTATCCCAAAAAAAAAAAAAGAAATTTACACCAAAAAACGATGCCCTATGCCCTCAAATTGGAAACGAACAGAGCTACAATTCATTTCTTCACCTGACAACAATTCCAAAAGGCAAAAACTTTATACAAAGAAATTCAAAAGAAATTGGATCAAACGAGATGAAAAAAAAAAAAAGGGAATTTGATTGAAATTTGTTGAAAGTGAATGAAAATTTCAGGTGAAAGAGACGTACCTGTGAATTTTTACAATAACAATCTGAGAAGAAAAACAAAAACCCAAACTTTCTATTGCTCTTTATCGTGTATTAAAATGTGGGATTTTTTTTTTCTTCAAAATGAAAATAGGAAACTGTAACAGAAATTCTGTTTGTTCAGAGAAAAAAAATAAAAAAGAAAAGAAATGGTGAAAGAATAGGAGAGAGATCAAAGAAGAGAACGATGGAGAATTTTATAATTACATGAAAGAGAGAGAGAAAATTATTTTTTATTTTCGTTTGTTTTGTTGTTTTTATTTGTTTATTTTATTAATTTTGTTTAACTTTTAGGAGACCAATCACTTTACGCCACGTCATAAAATTTTGGAAGGACTTGGTCACCCTTCTTCTGTTTGCATGATAACACCCCCACTCTGCATTTTTTTATATTATCAATCTTTTCCATAGTAATAATTGTAATTTTTTTTTTCAAAAAAACTTGATTTATGAAAGAGTTGCTGAGCAAACTAGCCCGTCACAAGTCCCATGTACGATAGAAATTTAAAAATATACTTGTTTCGTACCAAAATTATTTAAGTGATATTGAATTTTACAAACTTTTAAAAAATTTTATAAAGTTAAAATTTCATGATTTTTAATATTAAAAAGTAAAAAATTTTAAAAATAATTTTAAAATATAAAAGAAATAAAAATTTTAGATATTCAAAAAATATATAATTTTAAGACATTTCAAATATATATATATAGACAAAAAAATTAAAACAGAGAAAGTATATCTTATATATAATCAAAATTTTTAAAATTTTAAATTATACCCATAAATTTGAATTTAGCAAAACAAAAGAACCAATAAATTTTTTACGTCATAATTACTTTTTCTTTCCTATCTTTCAAATAAAATCAAATGTAATAAAAATTAATTAAATTTTTATTAAAAAATATAATTTGGGATGAAAAAAAATATGATTGAGATTTGAATTACAAATTTTTTGAATATCATTATAAATTAATTGAATTAAATTATGGGTTCAAAATCAATTAATTTTACCATTGCAAATGTTTTATATTTATATTTTTATGCACCATAAAATGCCTTGTTATTAGAACTTTTAATTGCAAATTTTCTGAACTTTTATTATTTAAATGCTTTATTATTATTATTATTATTATTTTGTTACTAAAAGCAGTGTTTTTTGTCAAATGATATATGATCAACAATAATAATGAAATAGTTTTTGAAAACTCCAAAATCAAGATTATATTGATGATTGAACCAAGCAATTTCCAAACTTTGAGCATTAGACAACTAAAGCATCATTAACCATTAGGAACCAAATATGGTATTTTTTTTTTTTCTTCTTGGGTCTTTTTTATTATTTCCTTTGTTATTTGTTTTTTGAAAAATTGTTATAAAGCAAAGTGTGAAGTAAAAAAACAAAATCATAATTATTTTAAAATTGATAAAAATAATTAAAATGTAACATAAAATGTGACATGATTAATCTGTATAAAAGTAAAATTAATACACATTTATTATCTAAAGAAAATATATTGTTTATTTGTAATATTCAATAATATTATTTGATTTTGTTTCCAAATTAACAAGCTTTTTATTTATTTATTTATTTATTTTCGTAAATAAAAATCAAGCACCAAAAACAACAATCAAAGGTAATCTAAAATTTTTTCAAAAAAAGAAAAAAAAATGAAAATTAATTATCAAGCCTCACTAAAGAGAAAACAAGTTGCATGAAAAAAATTTTCAATTAGCTCAATAAAATGACTGAAGTTACTTGAAAGTATTGTTTTGCACCTAATTAGTTCTAGTATTTTTATCAAACACATTTAAAAAATATGTTGATTATTAAAACTTAGAAGTCAATAACTTGTAATATAATTAATCAAACTCTATCTCCACAATGAGAATATTATAAGATTTCCATAAGTTATAAACATGTTTATTTAGCAACAAAAAAAAAAAACATGTTTGAACATTTTAAGGTTATAAATAAAAATTTTAAAACATATTGATATTTCCTTGATCAATCTTTATCATCATGATATATGTCATGTACAAATTTTGTCATCTAGACCTCTTTGACATTTGTTATTTGTTAAAGAGGAGGTAGCTCTCATTGTTCCCCTTATTATTCTCTTTTATGAATTTTTTCATTTAATTATTATCAATAATTATTATTAATAAAATACTAGATTTTTAATTTTAATGATTCAAATTCAATTTATAATAATCTCAAACATAAAAAAAAAAAAAAAACTAAAAGGTTGTTATTGGTACAACTTTTAATTTCCCAAAAAACATATAATGTAAGATTTCATTTAAAAATTTTAGATTCGCATCTTAAAATAACTAGCGTGAGATTTATGAAATATTTATGAGATAAGAGAAATATATTTTTTATTGTAAAATCCAAAAATGTTATATGAGTTTATATTTAATATATTGTTAGTGTATAAATGTTATATACTGTCAATGAATCAGATGATAACAACTCATTAATGAGTAAATATTAACTTTTAAAATTAATGTATACAAATTAAAATAATCTATTCATTAATGAGGTATTATCATCAGATTCACCTCATTAATGAGTTGTATACAAGAGAAATAATATATATTAATTTTATATAATAGCTATAACTATAGTAAAATATAATCGCAAAATAATTATAACCATGAAATATTCCTCTAATAAAATAAATCAAAGGCTACTTCACCTTAAAATATTGCAAAATTTTGACTTTGTGAATTGCAAGGCAATCAATTCTTTCATGTAAACTTATAGCAAAGAGTTCGAAAAAATTTTAGTTTATTATAATAGTCATTTATTAGGAAAGTAGAGTACTAAAGAACATTAAGGGAAAAATCTAACAAAATCTATATGTTGTTGTGATGATTGGTCTATTGTTCAAAGAACATTTCTATTGAAAAGTCCCAGTCAATGCCCTTTATTCTCCTTAATTATACTATAAAATACATACTATTTAAAAAAAATAGTTTTAAGGAAGAAGATCTGTTGCTGTCCAAACAGCAAGTATCTTTCTAGGCTGTCAAGGTTTTACAAAATTGTAAAGTTAATTGCTTAAGATATAATCTCTATCCAGGCAAATAGTTAAATAATGTTATGAATATATATCTAAAAAAACACAACTTATTCAAGCAATTAAGGGCATGTTTGGTGAATAGGATAATGGATAGAATAATATAATAATTATTTTATATTATATTTGGTTTGTATCTAAATGAAAGGAATAAAATTACAAGAATGATTATCATCCTCTAATATAAGATGATTCTATCATCCTAAAATGAAGAAGATCATTTCTAATTCATAGGATTAAATTTACATGTCTTTTTGTGCCTTTAAAAATTATATTAATAATTTAAATTATATAAATTTTGAGAAAAGACAGTTTTGATCAATAAATAAATTACTCCATCTTAATCTTTATACACATAAAATATAAGATAGAATGATATTATTTATTTTAATCTTATTTATAATATTATATTATCTTATTATATAATAATCTTGTGTATCAAACATAATCTAATAATATTGTTTGTTAATTTTATAATTGAAATAGCAATATGCAAGCTTTAATGGAATATAATGAAAAAAAAGATTGAAATTGGAAAACTTTCATTGATGCCAAGTAGAAATTCTTCATGAACACAACTTTTTGGCACACAATTAGTTATCAGCAAATTAAGAGTTATATATATTATTTTTTTGGTATAATCTCAAAAAGATCAGATAAATGAAGATTGAACAAATAATTGTTCTCCAATTTGAAGATTGAAGTTCTAAGTCCTAACCTTTCAAAAGATGAAATTTGAGAACCAAACGTATTTTGGCCAAAAAAAAAAACATATCCTAGAAAAAAATAAAGAAAATGAAATAGAAAGATTTGAGTATACATCATATCTCGAGTACATGCACAAAATTTTAAATTAAAGGGTTTTATTTCGAATTTCATTCTTCTAAATCTTGGAAGAAAGTGGGTAATAGAACATTTTAATTTCAAAAACCCTATAGTAATAACCACTTTTAAATTAAGTTATAACTTTCAACTTTCAATTTCCAAGTGAACAAAATAACAATTTTGACGACGTACGGACTAACTAACGAAGTTAGAGAAATTAAAAATTTATAATTTAATTAATTAATTAATTATTTAATTGCTTTTAAGATATGACATCTATTTGATTTAAAATTTAAAATTTAACATTTACAATTTTTTTTATTTTTAGACTGCAATATTATTTGTAAAAAAAAAAAAAAAGAGAAACAAGAAAAAAAAACTTTTAAATTTAAGGTTTATAAGTAGGTGAACGAGAGAGAAGGACCATTAATTTCGTAATGGTCTAGAAATTAGCAGGAGGGAAATCAGGGCATCGTCTTACTCTTCGGCCATTGGTGGGTGTGGATTTGAGTTTGTGCTTCATTCTTCTATGTTGGACTGCCTTTTTCAATGATGCTGATGTTTAATATTTTCTTCCCTTTGAATTTTTTTTTTTTTTTTGAAAATGATGGTTAGCGCACCATTGATTTTTTTTTTCCCTTGCAGAATATGCCTTTTGTTTTTGTTGTTGAACCTAAAAAAATTAGATAGCAATGGTCTAGCTACTGTTTGAATTGGTTGATAGAATATACAATAAATTTTTATGCATCAAAATCTGACAAAAATTTCTATGATATCAGAATATATCAGCAGGGAAAAAAACTATTGATTGGATGAAATAATATTCCCAATAGGAATTCCAAGATTTGATGATGCAATATTTTAGGATAAGATAATTAAAAATTGGGTGATTCAGAACAAAATTTACATAAAATTTCAGAAGTAAAGTTTGTAAAATTTTTTATTAAAAATGAGTAAATAAAAATTTTAATAAAAAATTCAAATTGATAAATTGATAGAGTTCGATATAAAGATTAATAATATGTACAAAAAATATTAAAAATATTATTTATAATTTAAATTTGATTAATAATTTACTTTAAATATGATATAAAAAATATATGAATTTGATATAATTTAAAATTTTAACTAAAATCATATATAAATTTAGTAAACATTAAAAACGTATTTTATATTTAACGTATTAATATAATTGTAATATGATAATTTTCGAATTTTACATATACTTAATATGAAATAAATATACAACAATTATTAAATTTAACTTTTTCTTTTGTGTTTGGA